CTCTCTCTCTCTCTCTCTCTCTCTCTCTCTCTCTCTCTCTCTCTCTGTATCTTTCTTATCACCTCCTCAAATTTAAGATTTGAAATGCAAACATTACGAGGAACGGATACAAGATATGCTGATCGCGTCAGCGAAAGTTAATGCCAACGACGTTGCGACGTTGTCGAATAGAAAATCGACGCATGTGTCAATATATATTATACAAAATTGTGTAAATTAAATAAATACTTGAAGAATTAAAGTAGTTGGTCCGTAAAAGACTTTTCTTAGGAATCCTTTCGAATTTTAAATGCATATGAATGGAAATACTATCTGTGTACACCTGTACAGGTAAGGAAAGATTATCCGTTCGCGGGAGCTGAGATATTTGCAACTAAATTAATACTTTTTACACGTGTCCCTTGCAATTATCGTTCTATATTTTGAATCTCTATTTTTAATTTCTTCTGAACCATATTTAGGATTTTAATGAGAAACTGTAGAATACTGAAGACTAAGATACAGATATTATATGATTTTCAAAATTACTGACGGTTTTGTTCTGGGAATAAAGCGGTGGAAAGTTCATGATTTATAGTAATATTCGAAATATATATGTACATATAGTATATATACATATACACATATGTAAATTTTTATATACTCTTTTCCATTATCTCTGTGCATTTTCATTGGATTAACTAAATACAATATAAAGAGCGTTGATAAAAAAAAAGTGAAAAATAATATTTTCGTTTTTGACATTTTACGTAAACATCTATCTCAACCTTATTTCAAGTTAAGCTTAGTTGATTGAACAAATTTACAGAAAAATGATGTTACCCAATAAATAACAAATTTATGGCAAATTTATAGATCCTCTTGACTGAAAATCCGACATCTTTAAAAACGATTTGCTTCAATTAAATTAAAATAAATTAATACAAGAAAAAATATTTTCGTATTTGTGATATTTGTTTCAACTTCGTTTCAAATAAACTTTAGCTAATTAAATAAATTTACAAAGTAATTTTGTTTAATAAATGATAAATTTATGAGAAATCTTGACGCGTTGTCACCGAAAATCTGATATCGTACGGACGAACTACCTTAAAATTGGACAGCTCGCAATCGATAATGCAATTTAATTTAAATCCAACAACGCTACACATCATTTTCCAAGCGTGATGGGCTGTCGCGGAGAGCACAGGGAGTAGTGCGGGATATATCAGCTTGTCGGCCTCGTCGAGACACGTTCGCGTGAAACTACATATATCTGTAGAATTCCTCACGCGGCTAATACGCATATCGACGGTCTCGATAGTACGCAATGGCAAACATCGTGGTGTTTAGTGCGCGATAAAAATGCGCTGCATTAATGAGCGCGACAGACGGCCAAGTGCAAAAAAGAAGAAGACCATTATCAGTGCACGTATCGCGAATATACACGGTGTCCCACGACAGTCACGGTTACTGACAGATACTACGAGAAACTTGTTCTCCATTCCTCCCTTGACATCGCGATATCGAGGTAAGACTTCTCGAGCGATTAAATTGTAAAGTGTCCGCGCTTCTCGCGAATTCAAAGTTCACGAATGACGTGAATAAAGAGAACTTAAGGTGATAATCATAGTCAGATTTTGTATGTTTAAGAGCGTCATAAGTTTATCTTCAAATGCTATATGAATCATTTCATGACGTTGGCTATAAAGTATCCGAAGATAAACTTCCCAGACTGACAAAGATGCTGAACATAGAATGCAAACATTTAATGCATACTCTGTGATGCAGTTGTAACACAATGTCTTTAAAATGCTCGTTTTAAGAAGTACTAATTTATATATTATGCCATAATTTTTTAATCAAATTATTTACTTCTTATTAATGCAATAATTCCGGATTAGTTGCATTCTCTTTCCAGCAAGATAACCAGCAATTTTCATGGTATCGTGTGACTTCTTTTGTATATTAAAAAAATCTTTCTTGTATAAAGATACATCTTTGCGTACTATATGCCGAAATATGTTCGTCAGAGTTAAAACGACTTTATACAGAATGTCTGACAATTATTGATTTACTCGTTGTGGGCAGGTAGAACTCATCAACCGAACAAAATTCTTCTACTATTTCACAAACAATTACGTAAAATCTTGAGTTATTAATTAAAGAAGATTGCTGATACACTGGATGAGCTGTGATGGCAATGTCTGTCTTCAATGCTTTTTAACCGTTAAAAAATTTTGGTGGAGAAATTGCCTAAAAAATTAATTACTTTGCATAAAAAATAGAAAGAAATTAACATATACTTCCTATATTAATATAGGAAAAAATAAACATTGTGTTTATTAGTTTAAACTAAAAAAAGTTCTAATTTGCAAATGACATATAGATTTCTAATTACTAACTAAAGAAGATTGGTGCATTCGTGTACAAACATATCTGTTTTAATTAATAACTCCAAATTTTAAGCGGTTGTTTGCTAAATAGTAAAAGAATTTTGTGTTTAGTTTGAGTTTTACCTATATGGGTGTATATAATGGATCAATAATTATGAGTGTCAATAATTATCAGACACGCTGTATATAAGATTGGACTACGAATATCTAACGCCCTTATTCTTTATTCGTTTCCATATGAAATGTAACTCTTTAAAATTGAGGAGAGAGTACAACTCAAAGAGTGCAACGAGTATCTCGTTAGTATACAGAGATGCGCATGCGTGAGACGCTCTGTGTATTAAAACATTTTCCGAGGATAAAAACATGTCTTTTTCGAGAATTTTTTTTACAAAACTATAAGAGATATTTATTTGTAGTTTTACATATATAATATTATAAGCTTAAACTGTTTATATTAATTTTTTCATGTAAAAATATTGATGAACTTTGAAAATATAGAGCATTTTCGGGAAATGATCCAAGTGTACATATTACATTGGCGATTGTGGACAAACTAATAAGCGGATCAGTCTATGTTATATATATATATATATATATATATATATATATATATATATGTATGTGTGTTTACAACATATTCATCTTCAATTAAAACTAGAAAAATTAAAATATATTAATTTCTTCCTATTTTTTATGCACAATTTTTTATGGATCAATTTTTTAGGCGATTTTTTCACCAAAATTCTTTAACGGTTAAAAAAAAATTGAGATGTAATGTTCCGATTTTTATTATCCTAGTTCCAACGATAGCCACACATCTATAGATTAATGATCTATTTCGTTTTTCTGTTTCAGTTTACTGGTAAAACCATGCACGCCAACATAACACGTACGATTGGACCCTTTTCTGGAATGTTCTGTATCCTTAATGTTTATTAATATTTTTACATGAAAAAATTACTATAAACAGTTTAGATTTATAATATTATGTATATAAAACTACAAATAAATGTCTCTTGCAGTTTTTGTAAAATAATTTCAGAAAAGATCTGTTTTTACCCTTGAAAGATGTTTTTTCTCTTAAAAAGGAAAAGAAGGACGTGGTAAGTAAACGACGAAATTACGATCAGAGGAACATTCGAAGAGGTCCTCATTCTCATGTCGATCTCTGCATTTTCTCCTTCCTTCTCTCTCTCACACACACACACACACACACACACACACACACACACACACACACACACACACACACATGCATACAACCACACAACACTAACAGTTCACACTCTAACTGCGATATATACCGCCGTGATTTAAAATTATATTTAAATAAAGTCGAAGATAAGAGAGAATAAGGCGAATAAAATAAATACATCATATAGAAAAATTATCCACACACCAGATAAGTTTATATGTACAAAGGTGAAGTGTAAAAAATGCGTTGTAAAAAGGGGAGAAAAGTGGGAAAGGAATGCCGCGACAGATAAAAAAGGAGTGTGAAGCGTGTATAAAAAGACAATCGAGGCGTATATGCGCCTTTAAATCGCATACGTTTGTCGGTTACCGGCAGAAATGTGTACACGTACGTGTGCTCGAATTTATTACGCGCGAATTTATTATAGCCGACACTTTTAGGCGTAAAACGAAAGGAAATCGATCGATGAAAAGGTCTAATCGTTGTCGAAGTTAAGGTTGTTAGCAGTTGGCTTCTTAATACGGCTGAGACACTTACCTCCCGACGCAGCTTCAAGTTGAAACAGAGCAGGTAATGACACAACGAGATAATTTGGTTTTGATTGATTTCTAGAAGCTGAGTTCTCTCGTTGTGGATCATCGGCTGCGTTCCAAGCTACATCGAGGAAGAAAAAGTGTTCGAACCGTATCAAAACCAAGTGCACACTCGTTTGCAAAACAGTTTGAATGTGTTTTCCAGTGGACATGCATTATTTCGAAAAAAAATATGCCAGAATAAGTGCGCTATTTTCTGACAAGTCATAATACAGAAATCCGAATACCAAGACAATCTCTCGAAATACAATTTTACTGAAATATTGAAATTGTCTCGTTGTATAGCCGCATTATCTAGTCATTGAAATACAAGAGCGTACTCAAATTAATATATGATAAGTCAGTTCTTTTCAGCTGCGCTAATGCCTGTTTTTATCAACGTCGTTTAAATCTTAATGTAAGTTTAAATGATTGTCTACAAGTCGTAGTTATGTTTTAAAGATATAGTACTGGTGAATCGATCATGTATCTAATTCCTTCGTAAATTCGTGAAAAGTTTTATCAAACTCATTAATGAAACTTTTCATTTTTCACGAATTGCGCGACGAAAATAGATATATGATCGTTTCACCGACCAGTGCTACGACTTTAAAACGTAACTACAACGGCATTGTAGATGACTCCTAAGTCTTCGTTCGAACATTTATTTGTCTAAATAGTTTAAACTTAGATTAAGATTTAATCGATATTGGCAGGTAGTTGAAAAGGCATAAGCACTTTTTGCCTTTAGAATGAAACAAGTGTAAATAAAGGTTGAGTTTCACTTGGCGACCGCATTTTGATCGCAAGTGTCATTCTCTCTTTGTTCCTCACCGGATATTAAACAGAAACGGAATGTGCCGCGTCAGCGCGATCGTCAAGTGGGACTTACTCAGAGTGAGTCAATAACTATTGCCACCTTGAATATGTTCAAAGTAAGAAACAAGTGATCTTTAGATTTTCGAAACTATTCTACTTGGAAAGAAGCGTCTTGTGATGATTACAGTTTCTTTTTTAGGGGAATAGTTTCAAAGATCTTAGCCCATATCTACAGTGTGCTCTTTGCTTCCTGTTTCTTTTTCTTTATTTCTTTCTGATTTAAACCTAGAGCTTTTAGCTGGAAAAAGCTAGAGAACAAGCAATATAGAAAGCAAAGAACACATTGTAGATTAAACTTTAAGCTTGATCTACAATGTGTTACTTGCTTTCTGTTTCTTTTTCTTTATCTCTTTCTGACTCAAACTTTGAGCTTTTAGTTAGAAAAGGATAAAGAATAAGAAATAGGAAGTGAAGAGCACATGGTAGATCAGGCTTTAAACTAAAAAAAGACAGAGAACAAGAAACAGGAAGCAAAAGGCACATTGTAGATTAGGCTTCAAAGTCACTTTTGCTTTTTGTTTCAAAGATATTCAAGGTGACAATAGTTATATATCCATTTAGCACAAGTGTCTAAAATACATCCTAGGGACGTCCCAGAGATCTCTGGAATATCTCTAGGATATATTTCAACATTTGTGCTGTATAGGTATTGACTCACTCTATATAATTTAGTAATGAAAAGAAAAAGAAGTTCCACTGTAGCATTAGTTCGGATAAAAAGAACAGATTTATTAATACATCTGTGTGTACTGATGTTAGAGGCAATAGTTTTCCTTTGGAACAATTATATACTTCGGGAAATTTATTTCAGGATATTGCCGCGGTATTCGGAATTACTATCTTTCGGAAAATTGCTCCGGGTTTCGAATTTAGAGATTTCAATTTTCCAGAACAATGCATGTCCACTTGTTTTTCGACGTATTTCAGGACGTAGCCGACGTCTGATGAGAGAATTTTGATTTGAAATAAATGATTTAGAGTAATTCTCATGAGATTTCTTTCTCATTGGACGCCGGATGCGTCTCGAAAAAAAAAAGTTCAATTCTACAAACGTGTGTATATAGCACAAAACGCATTTTAAACGCATTTCGAGCACTGAAGTTGCAGTTCAAGATGTCAAAATTCAGAGGCACTGCTGAAACATTCGCGCATGAATCGGTTATGACAGGAGCCGAAGTGACGGTACAGGATGTAAAAATAAATTTAAGATACCATAATGACATATTAATACATAAAGTAGTATTTCGGATTCAAACGTTGTAATACTCGAAGAAATGCCTAAAAGGGAGACTAAGAAGAAAACATATGCAAAGAACTTTATCGCACACAAGGTACTCTTTTAAAGTAAATCAGTGAATAGTCACTGATATCAGTTATAAATGTAGTACTAAGCAGTTTCAGTGCTATACTTATAACTGCAAATCAGTGTATATTTACTGCTTTCAATGATGTTTCACTGATTCACTTTAAGAAAGTAGGCATAGTAAAATAAATGCAATATGAAGTATTTGATTGATCAGAGGAATAGCAAATTTATAATGTTTGTCTTTTTAGTTTGAAATGTATATTAATTATAATACACATGAATCATGTAACTTTTATTCTTTTCCTATTTTTTTAATTATTTTAATTATTTACATCATTATGTACGAGATCGGAAATGCGAGAACATTGGACTGAAAGCTTGGAAACACGGACCCGAATAACCCGAAATATTACTTTATGCATTGAGGCTTCTGGCCCGTCGCATTGTCTATCTCTTTTTAATGACGTCAAAAGCGAGAAAATGCATGCTAAAAATTCTTGCGAAATACATTGAAATAAAAATATATATCCATAAAGTAACACTTGTAATCGATTAAACAAATTTGTAAGATATTTCGTGCATTCCCCTTTTTCTCCAACAATCAATAGTTTATTGTAAATTAATCTGAATAAAAATAGGCGAAGAAATAGATTAAGAAGATGAATTGTATGTCACGTTAATTTACGACAAATTATTGATTGTTAGAGCAAAAAGAGGGTGCACGGAATATCTTACAAATTTGTTTAATCGATTGCAAGTGTTACTTTATGGATATATATTTTTATTTTAACATATTTCGCAAGAATTTTTAGCACGCATTTTCTCGCTTCTGATGTCATTAAAAAGAGATAGATACTGCGGAGGGCCAGGAATTTTAACACGTCATCACATTATCTTAAATTTTCATATCCTATGCTGTCACTTCAACTCTTGTCAACCGATTCATAATCTCTTCTGTTATAACCGATGTGCAGATACGTCAGCAGTACCTCTCAATTTGGAATCTTGAAGCACTGCAACTTTAGTGCTCATAATACGCCCAATGTCTGTTTTTACCAACTTTGGTTGAGTTAACCGGTTGGTTATTCCAATCGAATCGACCAATTGCAATCTATCAATTCTGATTAACGAGAAATGCGACTGGTCAATTTCGCTGGAATAATCAGCCGGTGAAATTAACCAAAGTTAGTAGAAACGGGCACAAATCGTTTTGCGACTCATTACTTTCCAGCGCCTATATCATCGAATATGTATCAACACCCCTTGCTCTCCGTTCACTCTAACGACCCGACTAGAAAACAGTCTGTGTCTCTCTTCTCTCCCTCTCTCTTTCTCGTCTGACAGTGGATTTCTCGCGAAACGTTTATCAAGTTATCATAGCGTACGCGGGCGCCGACGACGTATGTGATGAAGCGCGCGCGACGAAGCCCGATAAAAAGCTCAGTGTAAAATTCAGCCTTCGAAGATGGTCACGCGAGTCGACTGCCGGCGTCGACGAGGTCGTCTTGGACGAACGCGCGCGGCAAGTCGGCTTCGCGCGACGAATTCGCTAAGATACTCGCGCGCTAATTCCGCGCCGAGCGCGTCTTTCGCGCGCACCACGTACGCGTACCGGACATCGACGAGACACTTGGCCTGGAAAATTTGCCTTTGAACGAGAAGAAGAACAAAAATTGTTGCTGCTACTATCACTACTACTGCACAAGCTACCTAGACAACATAATGTCTAAAATCGGGAAATAAGACGTCTTAGAGGTCATCTTTAAGATGTCTTTCAGACGATTTACGTATAAATGTCTTCAAGACGTCTTAAAGATTATCTTCAAGACGTCTTATGTCCTGATTTAAGACATTATGTAGTCTGGATACGTGCCGTTTGCATATCAAACTGTATTTACCGTTTCATGAGGAAAAGAACTCGACTTGTTGGTAGACACGCATTGTCCCGAGAAACTAATATCTCGATATTCGGAAGCTAAGACGACAATTTCATTAGAGGACAGAAATCTAATTATAAAAATCGAGTTTTCTTCTATGAATATGAGAAAAGAAATCATCTTTTACTCGATAACAAATCTGCCATGCCAAAGAAAAAAGTGGTTAAATCACAAATGTAGTTAACCACTTTTTTCCTTGGCACGGCAGAAATATTGATCGCATAAGAAATTCATAATCCCGAAATCCGAATACCAAGATAATATTCCGAGATACAATTTTTCCCGGGAGGAATTATTTTCTTGTAAACAACACGCATTGGTGTATTAATATCTGTATAAAAAGTGTCGGATCAATAGAAGTCGTGGGTAAAACAAATCGACGCATCAGTTCACAAATGTGACTTTTAGAAACAGGCAAAACGTAACTCACACATTCCTTATCACAAAGTTACAGACATTCAAATGCTTCTCCTGAAAAAAAACCTCCTGTTATCGGTGTTTAATACATCTGTAAACTACTGTATCGGTAACTTTGTAACAAGGAACATAAAGTACGTTATATTCTAGTAAACTAACGACAACATTACGTCAATGTTATAAATTCCCACTGAATAATATAACACGTGTGTTATATTGCATTTACACTGTTGAGCGGAATTATAACATTAATGTTACGTTACTAATAGTTAGTGTTTAACGAGATCTTAAAAAAAAATTACTCAACACATTTGTGAATTAATGCATTGGAATCTCCTTGATTCAATAGCAATGTTATCGAAACTATTGCTAAAGTTATTAAAATAGGTAACTAAAGTACTAGTTTCAATAGTATTGCTATTGAATCAGAATTTATTCCAACCACGGCGCGCTGTTGAGCAATTCTGTTGATGCAACAGCACTTCTTTTTCCGTGTACCCGCTTGAGTACACTCTCTTGCTGCACTCAGATGAGTAGATACTAATGGCTCCGGCTATACAACGAGACCACGATTCTAACACTTCAGTAAAAATGTGTTTATTTCGATACTGGGATTTCGGTACTATGACTTTTCAAAAAATTGTTCCATCTTTTAAATTTTGATACATTCTTTTTCAAGACAATGCATGTCCGTATAATTAAATTTCTGTTCCCAGAGAAGCAGACAAAACGGTCGTAGGAACAGAAAGATTCCAGCAGGAGGTTTCCGTGATCTCAATCAATCGTCCTTGGTTATTTCAGACGAATGTTCAGACAAATCTTTCAGTCACAGTAACACAGAGAGTTATTAATCGTCACTGAGTTTTCGTCCCGTCTTCAGAAAACAGAAACTTCCTATGAAAACCGAGTTTTCTTCCATGAATATGAAAATGGATTATGGATCTTTTGCTCGATAACAAATATCGATTACACGAAAAGAAAATACAATTATCAATCATTATGAATCACATATCGACTCGCTCAGACAATTTTCCATCAAAAAACTTTCCAAACTATGACCTTCGATGACCGGTACAGTTTGTTTCTCGCGTCTCTTTTTTTTCTCCCTTTTTATTCTTCGCGAAGTGTTGACTTAATAGTAGCAGTCGTTCGCGACCGTAATTGCGAAAATTGCATCAAGCGTTAATTAATCCGCGTCCGAATCAACAAACCGATCAAAGCGGTGAAAGTCAAGGCTCGTCGCCTGAAAGCTTTGTCGATTGCGGTGATACTCGTATGCATCGAGAGCGTAAAAATAAATAGCCTCGACAATATAAAAAAAAAAAAAGACATTAGAGCAAACTACGTATCTAACGGGTGTTCAGCGGCTTTATACGTGCGCGCAGGAGCGAATTGCCCGAATAAAAAGTTGAAGGTAAGCCGTAAGAAGAAGCCGTACGCTAATTGAATGGAAAGTCACGAATCAGTGCGGTTAGGAAAATGCCAACGGGGATACCGGGGTGAAATTCTGCCCGACCAAGGGGGCACGCTTCGATGTACGACGGCAATTTCTTCCTCGGAGAACCGAGCGCTGCGTGCTCGTATTAATCAGACATGCGCCGTGCCGCGACGGCAATCCGGAGACTCGATGAATCCGTCATCACGTCACGTCGGAATGGATGAGCGCGCGCAAAAATCCCTTAATTAACTATCGTATGAGCGCGACGCGCGTGTTCCTCGAGAATTTCACAATCAACGATCGTGGCATCCGTCGTCTCTAGTCGTTATTGCTATTTACAACGTGTTCAATGTTAAGAGATTAGCGCAGTATCGAGTGGGGGTGTGGGGGTGGATTGGGGGAGGGGGAACGGGGTGGTGTCTCTGGAATGTGTATTCGCCTGTTACATTTTCATACAGAGAGATCGATTCGTGCGTCGCAACACAGATCGATAACGCAAGTTTCGTATAAATAATCAATGGCAGCGTGTGTTTGTGTACGTGTACATATGTGTGTGCGTGTATGTATGTCCGTGTGCGTGTGTGCGACATCGTGCGCCGATTTGCCGACGAAAATAAAAGCGAACGAGACGTTACGGTGTTAATAATAATACGAAACGCGAGGAGAACACATGCCACGATATTGACGAAAAAAGGATTCCGCACGAATGTTGAGAAACGGTGAGATCGTTCTTACGATGTAAAAAATGTCTCGGCATACAAGAAAAGTCTTAGAAACCCTGCCTGACCACATATGCGTTAAAAAAAATATATATATATACGACACGTAACTTCGACGTTGAAATAATTGAGTTTCTCGCTGGAATTAAATGTAATCGCGTCACGCCGCGAGTCATGTAATGTGTGATCAAGAGAACTTTCGTCCCGGTCGTGACTCAACATCGACCGTCGTCGTATTTGAGAGACGTGCCGCTCGTCTCCGGCCATGACTATAAACGAGCGCGTCTCGAAACATGGATATTAGCGTAGATATTTATGTATAGATCGATATAATTTATATTATAAATAGTACACCATTTTTTGGTCTTTATCGATATCCCTTTAATCTACGAAGCAATATAGTAGTATCTCATTGTGCGTGTACTTACATTACTTTTTCGTCGAAGTGTCTCTCTCTCTCTCTCTCTTCCTCCCTCCCCCCTCTCTCTCCCGCTCTTTCTCTCTCTCGCTCTCTTTCTCTCTCTCTCTCTCTCTCGTTCTCTCGCACGCCCAAAAACCCAACCGAGAGAGAGTTTCCCCTCGTGATCCCTTGTGCGTGTAAAAAAAATGTCGAGAGGTTTAATCGAACCTCCCCGAACCGAGTCGAACGAAACTCAACTGATTCAACGTTCCGTTACGATTGTTATTTGTATAGCAAATAACAAAAGGATTACGGCCACTTAAGACGCTAAAAGTTAGATTAACGTACTTACACACAAATGTCCGATATACATAAGTGTAACCCCACACACTACACATTCTCGCAAATATGTATGTAAAAACCTGTATGTGGATCTCGATAACGCTTCGATATCGAGCGATTTAGTCTCACGAACTCTTTGTTAATTTTTTTGTTTTGCTCTCTCGCTTGTTATCCTTATCTCGCTGTCTCATCCATTTTCGACTTTGAGATTAGCTCGATCGTCCATGCCTCTTCCTTGTCGTCTTCTTTATCTCTTGTTCAGTTCTGTCCTTACGGCTGGAAGTGTGAAGCGTATCGTGTGAAACACAGACTGTCGTGTGGGACGGCTTGTACCGTAAACTGTGTGAATTCGCATGGCGAGCGCGACAACGTGGCATACATACCGTCGATGAGCTCCTGCTTCATCTTCTGGAATTCTTTGCGCACTTCCTTAATTATCTCCGCCTTGAAAGCCTCCATCTCTTGCGCGGTGAGCGACGACCCGTCGTTGACTCCATTTACTTTGAGCAGGGTGTCCTCCGAGGCCGAGCCGAACCTCTTGCGCACCGATTTCGGTGACTCAGCGCCGTTGGAGAATTTGTTATTCGACGAGTTATTCTTGTCCCAGGATTTCTTGTCCGGCGAACTCTCCGGCTCCTGAAACAATTCGAGACGGTCAGAGATTATCCAAAGCATTTACACCTCCTAATTTCAAAGAACTATAACTCCGTCATCACTTACCGGTGGTTGCTCAGGTTGTTTCTTCTCAGCGGCGGCTCTTCGGCGTGCCAGAGTCTTCGCCATCTCGTCCATCATGGAAGCCATTCCGCCGCCTCCGCCTCTCCCCAGAGTGCCGTAGTTACCGCCGCCTCCACTGCCACTGCCGCTACTGCTGGTGCTCGAGCCGCTGTTCTCCACCGGTTGCGATTGTTGCTGTCGGCAGTACGAACACGTCGTACATCAGGCATCAAGCGCATTAAAGGCTTTTGTCTTTCGAGGTGGGTTTCCCTTGAAAGATCAGCCATTCGCGCGAAAGACAAAAGACCTCAATGTCAAATTACCTGCTTCTTCTTGAGACGAGCTTGAAGAGCAGCAGCCAATGAATTGGTGTCCGGTGGAGGGTCGTTTGAAGAGCTGACGGAAGAGCCAGAGGCCGCCGCGGCGGAGGTGTTGTTGGCGTTGGGTGCTGGCGGCGGTGGTGGTGGGGGCGGCGCGGCAGGACCAGCCAAAGGTACCATCGGAGGCGGCGGTGGACCACCGCCGGTGAGAGGGGCGTAAGCGTTCGCACCGACCGTGTGATGGCTACTCGCGGCATACTGGTTCACAGAATTCGACGGTGTCCCATACGGATTCGTAGTGGCCGTGGCCGCCTGTACCTGGCCGGCCGTACCGGCGAATTGTGCCTGCGCCTGCGACACAATCGTGCCGTACTGCGACTGGCCGGGCTGGGCGACCGCGTACTGGCCCGCCGGCGGCGGCGGCACAGCCGCATACTGGCTTATCGAGCTACTGCTACCGTACTGACTTCCACCACCGCTGCTGCCACCGTATTGCGCGACCTGATTGCCAGCCGGTTGACTATATTGGCCAGCTTGGCCCACCTGTCCGCCACTGGCGTAATTGCTTTGACTGTTAGTAGCATAGAAATTGTTCTGGCTGCCAGTGGCAGCCGGGTACTGGCTCGGGCTTTGACCCACGACGTTGTTTGCACCAGCGCCGGCGCCGCCACCGGCGCTGCCACCGCCGCCGACGGCGGCGGTAGCAGTCGCGTACTGATTGCTCGTTGCCGCACCGCCGTACTGGCCCGTCTGATTGGTCACGTAGATCGGCTGACACTGTGACTGATTCGGCAGGCTCGTCTGAGAGGACGGCGACTGTGCATATTGACTCATCATCATCGGCGGCGCCGGTGCCGGCGTGCTGAAGTTCATCATCGCCGGCGGGCACGGGGGTGCTGGCGGCGCAACGGGTGGCTGAGGTGGCGGTATCGGCGGACCAACCCCGGCCGACATTTGCGGAGCAGCTGGAGCCATACCGCCGACTCCCTGCATGCTCTGCAACGCCGGCTGTTGCTGTTGTTGCGGCTGTGGCGCCGGTGGCGCCGACGAGGTCCTGTGGTGACCAGACTGCTGTTGCTGCTGTTGTTGTTGCTGCTGTTGTTGCTGCTGCGTTGGCGGGCAACTCGGCGAGATAGGATTAGGACTACCAGTTGCTGCGAAAAAATGTTTGTGTCTTTACATTGTTTATTGCTGTATTCGCCTGCACGATATCATGTAACATTTATCTCGGTAATTATTTACATTAGGGACATCTCGCTGATGGCCTTGTCGAGGTCAACGTTCTGAGTGATAGTATTGCATTCCAAAACTCTACTCAGTTAATCTTATAAAACTCAGAGTGATGGGAAACGGAGTAAACTATCAGCTCCAAGAGATTTTGAACGAGAAAGAATAATCTGTTCTTTTTCGCTGCACTCCTCCTGCATTAGTTGACACTAGTTGTCTCTTTTCTTCAACAAAATTTCAACCGTATAGCTATTTCTTTTTATGTTCCGTTAAAAACTAATTTAATTAAAAAGAACAGACTTATGTTTTCTGCATATATATACAAATAAACAAGGTTTAGCAAACCTTTAATTAATTGGTAGATATAAGCCATAGTAAGAGTTGCTAAATAATTATTTATTGAAATAATTACAAATTATTTATTAAAATTATATATGTAGTAGTATAATATACTTTTATTTAGTAAAATTTTATATGTGGTAGTATAATATATTTTTCATAAATTCGCGCTGTTATATTGGAGTTTATCCTTTTATACCCTTGAAAGCAGGGTTCATAGAGTTAACTCCAAGTATAGTTAGTCTGACTTTCTGAACGATTAAGCTTTTCCTATAAAGTACGTTACATCATATTTTGAAACGGTATTGAGTTAATTCCGCTACTCGGAGTAGAGTTTTAGAACGTAGCCCAGAAGGTTGTAACCGTCGGTCACTGTTTATTAAAAAGTTATGAACAAAAAAGTTTGGAAAACGTAAGAGGCCTATTTCTTATGATTCGTCAACAGTTTTCAAAATGCCACTACAAAAATATCTAAATCTTGCTAATAATAAAAAATTTTTAAAAACCTAACCTAATCCTATTCTCAAATACTGTTAGGTGTTATCGAATGCATGAGCGTAATGTTAGTTATTAACAGATGTACAACATTTATGCACATATATTTAAAAAACTATCAATGCTTTAGGATAGAGTTAGATTAGGTTAGATTTTTAAGGGGGTAAGCGGTGAAGTCTCTCTCTCCCAACCTTTCCAAAAATGTTTTTAATTTTTTAATGCTAATCTATACAATATCTGCATTTTTAGTATACGATAGATTCATTAATTTAGTAAGGTGGAAGATTTTAAGATAAAAATATCAATACCCGGATTTAATCCTGGATATTCTTATTGCTTTAGTCTTTAAATACGAATATTTAAACTTTCAACATAAAATCTATATACATCTATATACATATATTAAACGTGCACATAAATTCTATGTTAAGAATTTAAATATTTGTATTTAAAGAGCAAAACAGAAGGAATGTCCAGGATATGTATCTACGAATTAATACTCTTGTCTTACTTCTCGAGAAATATATCCAATTTACTGCTTTTTTTCGATAAAATTCCTAATTCTTACTAAAAAAAACTGACAATACATAACAGACTTTGCCTTCGAGTTTTATTTACATGTACCTTCAACTATAACACATGCTATTCTACTGAACAATTCTACTAAACGACTGTTTCAAAATATAATTGATAGAATCTTTAAACTTTTTAGTTCATAACTTTTTAATGAACAAAAAGTAACAATTAAAACTTTTTAATTGTTACTCAGAGTTACAACATGTGTCAAAGTCACCGGCGAGTTGTTTCCTATGTAAATAATTATTTTTATTTGTTATTGTACTATGCATTAGGTGTTTCGATTAATTTTGAGAGTTGACGTTATGAAGAATTGCAAGTATTATTGGATGAAGATTCAACTCAAACGCTCAAAGAACTTGCAGGAACATTGGGTATTGGTCAAATTACTGTGTACGATCGTTTAAAATCTATGGGAAAGACCTAGAAGGAGGGAAAATGGATTCCACACGAATTACCTACCCAAAATCGTCATAACACTTATGTCTCACTTTTTTCAAAGCACAAAAAAGAAGTTTTTGTATCAAATTATAATTGGCGACAAAAAGTGAATATATTATGATAATCTTAAATGGAAAAAATCATAGATGGATTTAAACCAACCATCAACATCGACATCAAAACGCAATATTCATGGAAACAAAATTATGTTCTGTATTTGGTGAGATTATGAAGGTGTTGTATATTACGAATTGCTAAAACCAAGCGAAACAGTTATAGCTGATCGCTATTCACAACAATTACGCAAATCCAAGCAAGCATTGGATAACAAACGACCTCCGATCGCGAATAAAAGATGTAAGGTGATTCTTATTTCACAACAATATCAGACCACATGTCGCTAAGTCCATGAAAGATAAGTTATTGGATAGGAAATCTTACTCTACTTCGCGTATTCTCCAGACATTGCACCATCAGGTTATTGTTTCGATTGATATAACATGTGCGCTTCAAGGTACATACTTTCGAAACTTTGAAGAAAAAATTCGTCGATGAGTAAATTGTTTCTAAAGATAAATCTTTTTTCTATCGTGGAATCCACTTATTGCCATAGAAATAGGAAAAGGTTGTAGCAAGCGGTGGAAAATATTTTGATTGAAATATAATGTATCGTTTTTTTTTAATAAATTTAAAAAGCGTTTTTGAGCCAAGAATCTTAAAATTAACCAAAACTTTTAATATTATGTTAGTGCAACAAGTTGGTCATTTTTCTATTAAATTCTCATAGGAAGTTTAAATATAAAAAAAATAGCAAGTTATAGACATCTAAACGAATAGCCGATATTGTTTATTTCATTAGTAAAAATTATTATCCCATCGAGATTGAATAATTTTACTTTTTATTTTACTGGACAATCATGACGACATCAATCTAATACTTTCTCGAAAATAGTTTCTTAAAGCAAAATCTTAAGACGAATAAGATTGTTTGCTCAAGGCGATAGTGAAAATATTGCCACTCAGGACAGCAAGAGTGAATGTTTCACTCGAGCTTAGAGTGGATTCCATCTCCACACGAGTGAATGTTTCAATCGATTAGGCTGCATTCGTTCCTGTAATGATGAAAGATATCAGATTCACTCTTCAATTTCAAGTGAAAATATGTACTCGGCGTTTCAAAGAGAACAAGTCGCTCAGTGTAAAAGATCATTGAAAATCGAGACTCAGCCGTTACTCCACTCTTTTCGAGTGACATTTCACTCCAGGAAATTTAGAGAGTAAGGAAAGAAGTATAATGATTGGCAGGGATTAGTATATCAATACATTTAAACGCAAAACGAACTAACTATTAGCAGCTCACTAAAATCTTGTCTGATTTTTGTGTAAAAAAAAAACGCGAGTTCTACAAACGCCAGTTTTATACCAAGAGACAGTTTAAAATAGAGATGTACCCTAAAAACTGCTAATCACTGTACCTCTTCCCCCGTCATAAAATTGTACGCCACGATACCTTGACTCTGCTGAGACATTCTGCGTTCTTGGATTATCGCCACGTCTTCTCTGGTCATGGTCCTACGCAGACGGAAATCGGAATTAACCGTGGGAATCTTACGATGCAGGATGCATTGTTAGTGCAAAGCATAGTGAGACCAGCCAGCTAGACTAACGTAACGGACAATACTAACGATCATCTATGTAATCCTAGACACAAATCGTACTAGAACTCGCTTTAACCACCTTAACGACGAACACCTTATGGATCCTCGAGTAAGTGCTAACAATACATATATCGACAATATCCAAGAAAAAAAAAAGAGAAAAATCAATCGCAAATCGACAAATGTACAAGGGAAATATATCCAACTACAGAGAAATACTATATCCTTATCTATGTCGCGATGCATTTCAGCGGTGAACACCGTACTTACTGGAAATCAAAGCGTATCGTTAAAGTGTTTAAACGTTGATATCGATTCATATGCGAGCCAAAGAGCCAAAGAGAATGTGTTAGACTGACAAGTATAAAGGTGCTTTTAAGATGGTACATTGCAGTTATGTGACGATCATTATTGGTCAGACAGCATGATATTCAGCTTCATGATAGCGATGACAGACAGAAATTAATCATTTCTCCTTGAGATCAAGATGGAGAAGGGGATGGGAGAGAGGGAGCGATAAATGATTGAATTGGCCAGCTTGAACGCGACGCAGCTGCAAACGCGACCCGTAATCTTATCCCTGCATCCACATTTGTGTATTTAGGCCGTTTCTTGTCCGATAACGGTCCCGGATATCGAGCGGATCGAAGCTGTTGAATTTTGTACGCGTCTCACGAAAAGTGCCGCTGGAAAAGTGTCACCGCGGGGCCGTTCGCGGGGCGATGCATTCGCGGGTTATTTCGAGCGGCGCAGAGTGCAACAGACCGAACGAATTCTCCCGCCGCGTCGTCGTCCGATTTTATTTTCGACGCCGCGTAAATGTCTTTCCGCGGATCCTTCGCTTTTGTCGAGACGCGTCGCCGGGGTCTCGCTACGTGAAAATTTGGAGATTCCGTGGGGGACCAGATAGATAGATAGATAGATAGATAGATAGATAGATAGATAGATAGATTAGAAGAGGAGAAGAAAGTAAAAATGGCTATCGATTAGTAGCAGCTGTACACCACTAAAACCGCTAATTGGCGACAGTTCGGGGGATTACGAAATCGAAGTAGATGAGGTATGGAAGAAGAGGCCGGGGGACAGTTATTCTAATACAATTAACACCAGAATGCCCGGAAACGATAACCCCCTTTAGGTGCCCGAAAGTGTCATTTTGCCTCTTTGCAATTCTAATATTTTGAAACTCGCTCTGTTTCTCATTACTCGTATCAACAATGGACATGCTAACAATTCTGGACATGCTAAAAACATAATATATAAAATATAGATATCTTATATATTGTAAACAAATTACAACAATTTTCACCACTTTTCTAAACTTAATTATAATTTCTTGATTATAATTTCCTATGGTAACTTAATTTTTATAATTATAATTTCCTATAGTAAGATGCATCACAATTATTATTTACTTGCCCTTTATAATTAGTATACGGAGAAAATATTATAGTAAAAATTATATTTAAAAAAATGTCTCTTTTTACAATGTTTTTTGTGTAAAGCTGGATTGTATTGAAATTGCAGTATAAATTAATAAACTTAGTAAATTTGACGATCTACTTATATGATATAAAATATATTCAAATAATTACAATAATTTTGTAGTAAAAAGCCAAACGTGCATAATATTTTTAAGCAAATATTAGTAGCATATATTTTTAAGCGTATATTAGTAGTAGTTTTGATCATAATTAGTACGGTTCAATATTATTAAAGTTTTGTTATAATTTTTGTTAGAATATTAACTCCATATACAAAATAAACTGCTGAATAACACAGAATAAAATATAAACTTAATCAGGATTAAAAAACTAAAATCTCTAATGACAATTTAGCATATTGTCCTTATAACACTGACAATTAAAAATAAAGAGTCAAAATGACTCTTTTGGGCATTCAAGGTACATTACAAAATAATTCATCGCAATATCATTGAACTCTCCCATTACACCCTCAGTGAGTTCTGCTTAAAGAATAATCGAAAGTCACGAGAGATTCTTTTCCTAAATTCCACGAGAAACAGAAATAGCGACAACCAGGAGATTTTAAAAGAGTGAAAATGACTCCATCGGGCATTCTAGCGTTAGTGCCTGTAGCCCTCCGCTAAAAAGGGAATCAAAAGAGAGTCAGGAGAGCCTAATGAAACGCATGGCCTTTAACCCATATTAACCTGGCATTGCCGCAAATTGGCGACGTTATTAAATTAATTATACACACACACACACACACATACACACACACACCTGTATATATATATATATATATATATATATATATATATATATATATATATATATATATATATATATATATATATATATGTCTCTCTC